TATATTTTATATATAAATATATATATAATTTCTACATGCATATATAAATAAATATATCTAAAAGACAAGATGACCAAGTATAAAATTTTGATTCCTAACTCTGAGATTATCTAACAAATTTCTCTGATATTTCTTGTCCATTTTTTTCTAGCTTTCAGAAGAATTTTGGTTGTGCTGCAAATGCCTCTGCAAAGGCTAAGGAGCAACGGGCCTATGACATTATCAAGGCAGAGGGCAAGAAATTGGGCTCAATGAAATTTGCAGAAATAGCAGTTTCAATCCTCTTCATACTACTGATACTGCTCTGGTTTACAAGAGACCCTGGTTTCATGCCAGGCTGGGCAGCAGCACTTTTGGACAAAAGTGATACAAGGTATCACTACTTCTCCGCACTTTGAATAAAAATTAAATACGTTAGATTTCATAAAAATGAAAGCACGTCTAAACTAAATATTTGACCAATCTATTGCAGCTATGTCACTGATGCTACAGTTGCCATCTTCATCTCAGTTTTGTTGTTCATCATCCCTTCTGACATTTCTAACAACGACAGAGATAAACAACAAACAGGTAAGTTTACTGAAGGCATCAAAAATCAACTGTCAGAACAGGTACACAGGATGTTTTACATGTTAGATTTACAAAGGAAATTTCAAACATTAAACAAGATTTCAAACTGCTCTTCCTGCATAGCTACAGCTGTATGTTTTAGGTGAGGCAAGGCATGTGTCCCATAAAAGTTCTCTGTTTCTTGTAATTTAATGAAGTAGGAAACTCTTATCCCAGCAGTATTCCAGACACTAGTGTACACATATGTAAAACCTTCTGAAGCTGGTGTCTTCACGAGAGAATACATGACTTAACAGAAACACATACAGTTCTGCAGATATGTTGCCATACTTTTAACTCACTCTTACCTGTATTCTACTATGCCTTTTGGAGTAGCTACAGATCATTCATTAGTATTTTTGCAAGTCAAGTTTTAAAATCTTTGTTGATGAGGCTCCCATTATTTCCACAGTCTACTTGATCTTGCTGACAGAAGTGTTTCCTGACTTTCAGACTAAACTCACCTCCCACCAAGAAGTGCTCCTTTCTTTGCAGAATATAACATGGCTTACAAAACCTTTTTGGATTTTAGGCAGCAAGTCAAAGATCCAAGCACCTCCAGCTCTTTTGGACTGGAAAGTAGTTCACCAGAAAATGCCATGGAACATCGTGTTTCTGCTGGGAGGTGGCTTTGCCTTAGCCAAAGGCAGTGAGGTAACATTCCTGTGCTTACCTGGCATTTGTCTTCCTGGGTGTTTTCCATCTTGCTTTTCATGCGTGCTCTCCCAGAACGCAAGAGGGCATGCTGGGAGCACCAAATGCGCATTTCCTCAGCTAGTGGCAGTAGGACAGACTTCGCCATCCTTAGGAGGAGTCCTGTGATTAGAACAAACCTTTACTGTTGCCTATGCAACTGGGATGGTACTACCAATCAAGGCAGCATGATTAACTGCATTTCTAGAAAAGTGGATGATTAACAAACTGCCCCAACACATTAAAGGTTCCATTAAATAAAACTTAATTGATGTGGCAAGGATGAAGAGATAATGTGCCCAGGATGGGTCTCCAAACTATTTCAAACAAACTACTTATGTGATTGAAATTAAACTGCTAGAAGACAAATGTAGAGTTAGCTAGAGGACCTTCAGGAGCAGATAAAAACATCTGTCAGACTGAAGGATGTACTGATATACTTCTGCGGGAATCTGCCAGCAGTCCAGTGCTACAAATTATTTTTAAGTAATGACTTAGATGATGGAACAGCCAATACATTTATTAAATCTATAGACAATAAACAGGTTGGAAAAGGCTTCAAGTGCCTGGAATTCTAGTTTAGAATTCAAAGATCGCAATGACCTGTAAAATTGTTTCTAGAAAACAGGGATGCAACTCAATATAGGAAATAGGAAGAAGTATCAAAAATGCAAGATGTGGAAATAACAGGATAAGTTTTAACACTGCTCATACACCTTGTTCTAGTCAATATTTTTATATTGCTACTGAGAAAAAAAAGCAAACAACTGGAAACTATAGGTAGGACCATCATACCCAAGACATGTAAAATATAATCCTTCCACTCAGGACTGGTAAATCCTCAGGTACAGTAATGTATTCAGTTTTGAATATCAGTCTTCAACAACATGTAGGCTATATGAAGAAAGTTTAGAGGAAGGTAGTAAAAATTATCAGATCTCTGCGAAACATGTTTGGAAAAGGAAAGATTCAAGAAATTACACTAATTTATTCTAGAATAAGTAATCAAATACATAAAAGCTGCTGCAGAAAGGGAGATAGTATACTTTTTTATATTCTGATGGTGCTAAAGGGCTTAAATTGCAGCAAAGGAGATTTAGGTTAAGCAGTGGGAAAATGTTCCAACTGTAAAGACAGTTAAGCACTTGAAAAAATTATCTGGGCAGATTTTGGAAACTTCCTTGCTAGAGATTTTTAATAACAAGTTTGAAAAACATCTGTCAGTGATAATTTAGGTAAAGCTGATCCTGCCCTAGGACAGAGAATTAGACTAGTCCTTTCAAGATAGGTTCCAACCCTCCTGTGGGATAGCACTTTTCAATGTCCGAAGAGACAGGCTGAAGTAACCAAGATATGAAATAGGGAAGACATGAAGAACAGTGGTTGCCAAACCAGTAAGAAAGCAAGCTAGGCCATAATGCATGAAGCAGCAAGACAGGCACAGTTAGGTTATGTTCTCTTGAGAAGCTGAATAATAAGGATGCTCAAACTACAGCCCAGAATGATAGGGAAGATGCTGGTATTTTTCAGTGACTGAGAAGGATGAAAGGTATGAAAAGCTTCAGATAGTTGATCAAAATCTCGGATAATGTGATGAAATTACATCAAATCATGAGAATATCTGCTAAGATATATGAAAGTATTTTAGAAAGTGAGTTCAAAGATCTTTGTTTAGATTAAAAAAAAAGCCTCAAATATTGATCATGTACAACTAATGGCCTGAACAGAGAAATAATTATTTGCTATCAATAATGTACAGAAAGCAGTTTGTATGAGAACTCGTATAAGAAGGGAAGGTAGAATTGGTATGAGAAATGTAATTGGACTGTGATGTGGCTATTTCTTCTCCAGCCTACTATCTTGACAGACCTCTTTCCACTGTTACAGGAATCTGGTCTGTCTTCATGGTTAGGTAGCAAGCTGACTCCTCTGCAGCAAATCCCTCATCCAGCTATTGCTCTCCTGTTGTGTCTCCTCATTGCCACTTTCACTGAGTGCACCAGCAATGTGGCCACCACTACCCTCTTTCTCCCTATTCTGGCTTCAATGGTAAGTTCCAGTGTTTCAAAATAGTCTTGTAAGAACAGTTTTCAACTCTTCTCCAAACATACATCTGTTCAATTATAAAAACTAACTGCATGCCATAGTCAAGAACTGGTTTGTGTATCCAATTAGGAATACAAGACTTAAAATATACATATATGTACATGCATGCGTATATATTGACACACACTGTGCTTAGTTCAACCTTTCTAAAATCATTGCTGGTGAAAAGTAAAGGGATTAAATTCATTGGCATATTAGACTTTGCCTTCTGGCCTAAACAACCTCATGAGGTCACTGCCAGCTGTACTTGTTTTTTCCTATTTGTTCTGCACAGAGACAGCAACAGCAGCAGCATTTGCTTCCCTGCAACATTCCATTACTGTATTTCACTCCGACCACTAACCTTCCAGAAGTCTCTGAAGGTGATAGCATTAGTCAAGCTGTATGACCTAATTCAGACTTTTGCATTTCCACATGAGATTCCTGTCGCTGGGGTAGACATAGTTCTGCAGTGTGAAAAGCTGGTTCCAGATAGAAACTGGAATAAGCTCCACCAAAATCTTTTTGCATAGGCCACAGAGTCCAGCTAACCCCTAAACTGATCCACTCACCTTCAGAGCTTGGGCGGTTTCCTCTGATAATTCAATTTTGTTCTTAACCACTTTGAAGCCACTCCACATTTTTTCCTGGTTTTAGAGTTGAACACAACCCTTATTGTTAATTTATACTGCAGCAGTGATCAGATTCCACAATGAAAAACACAACGCACTGACCACAAAATCAATTCTTGCATTTGCTGCATAAAGACATCGGCTAAAAGTTTCTAAAGCAGAACAAAAACATGAGTGGGTGCAGTGTTTGTGAAAGAACAAGATTTCTGACACTGATACAATCAGTCATCTGCCAAAAGATTTCTATGCATTTTTGTATATCAAAACCATCAACTTTGCTCTCCCTTCTTGCATAGGCTGAAGCGATCTGCCTCAATCCACTCTATGTCATGCTGCCCTGTACACTTTCTGCATCGTTGGCATTCATGCTCCCAGTGGCCACTCCTCCTAATGCCATTGTCTTCTCATATGGACAGCTCAAGGTTATAGATATGGTGAGCAAAAGCGCATTCTTTTCAGAATTTTCATCACTAGTTTTGATCTTTCCTTTTTCTAATATTGGCTCTTTTTGGAAGAGTGTTAGAAATCTCACTGTACTGAGCTTATGTCAAATGGAAAGAACAACATACATGTGTGAATTAGTAAAGGGTCACACTGACTCTAATATATAATCAGAGCCTTATAAAGATTCTACTGAGCTTTTAAAAAACAGCCACAGCCTCTTCAAGATGTTCCAACAAGAGCTTGCTGTCAATGAGAAATGGCAATGTCTAACTGTTCAAAAAGCCCAAATGTAGATCATAGGGATGTCAAAGAGCCCTGTCATCTGGACAGTCCTTCTGCAGAGACTAGGGGAAAGCCTAGCACATCTCACTAGGCTGCCCTGATGCCCTTTCTCACTATGTTAAGAAAAGACAGACAAAGATGCCATGTCTCTTGATAACTTTTCTAATTTATAATGGATCCAAGAAGAAATCCAAAGTAACATTAGAGACAGATACCAGGTCAGAAGAGAAAGTCCTAGATAAGTGGATTAAAAGGATTTCAGAACTTCTAGTTTAAGAGGTTTATCTAATGGAAATTCATTTTCCACTAATAAAAATTATGTTTGTGAAGAAAACCAGCTTAAATGTAATTTGATGGAGTTGTGAAAAAAGGCCAAAGAGAAAATCTAACCGTATAAACAATCCTAATCCGCAAGGAAGGAAAAAAAGCACTCAGTTCAACTAATAACCTGCCTCTTTTCTAATTCTAGGCCAAAGCTGGGTTTGTACTCAACATTTTAGGAGTTCTGACGATAACTCTAGCCATCAACACCTGGGCTTCATCTCTGTTCCAACTGCAAACTTTCCCATCTTGGGCAAACAGGACAGGTACATGCCCATAATATGGAGAGGCACAGGAACCAACAACTGCTTCTGTTAGAGCTGCAATGAGAGCAAGACTATCATCTACACAAGTTTTGCTGAGGCAGTGGTTAAAAGGCCTGTTCTGTGGAAATGGACAAGCCACCTATGAGCAAAATCATTCAGTTGATAATTAAATTGCCTAACAGTGCTGTTTAGCAGGCAATTTTGTTACCCCAGCAGTAAGATGAGGTAAACTTTGGCTTTTCAACTGTTCCAGGTATCTTTAGATTTTTTGTCTCTGCAGGGGTAGATTTTCCCCAAGCACTAGCTCCATTGCTTTTCAAGATCCACTTGTAAAGTCTGAAATCTGCAGTGAGAAAACACAGAAAGAGGTGTATATAAAAGCAAGGAGAGAGACTATACGTACCTGATTTCATGCATATATCTGTGTATTGTCACAACTAATATGAATATTCACCTGTATATGAGTCCACCTCAGGACATGGTTTAGTGGGCATGGTGGTGTTGGGTTGATGGTTGGACTTGATGATCTTAAAGGTCTTTTCCAACCTTAGTGATTCTGTGATACAGGCCTCTGCGTATATGTTCAAAATGTACATGATTGTTATATACTCTATGGGCATTCACAGCAAGGCATGTGTTGTGTAATTACAGACAGATCACATACTGTGTTGTGGTGTAGCCCCAGCCAGCAACTAAGCTCCACAGAGCCGCTCACTTGCCTCCCCCTCCAAGGTGGGATGGGAGAGACAGTTAGAAAAAAAACTCATTGGCTGTGATAAAAACACTTTAATAGGACAGCAAAGGAAGAGGAAATAATAATAACAATATTACTGATAAAGGAATATACAAAACCAAGTGATGCACAATGCAACAAGCGCTCACCACCTGGTGATTGATAGGCTGTCCTTGAGCAGTGATTCCCGCCCCCCAGCCAACTCCAGTTTTATACATTGAGCATGACATTACACGATCGGGAATATCCCTTGGGCCAGTCTGGGTCAGTGTCCTGGCTGTGCCCCCTCTCACCTGCTTGCGCACCTCCCCGCTGGCAGAGCATGGGAAGCTGAAAAGTCCTTGACTGAGTATAAGCACTACAACTACTTAACAACAACTAAAAACATCAGTGTGTTATCAACATTATTCTCGTACTAAATGGGGAACACAGCACTATATCAACTATTAGGAAGAAAATTAACTTTATCCCAGAAAAAAACAGGACATACTGTCAGCCTGTTCTGTTAGTTTGAAACATATTTATTTGCAGTCTATTTGTTATGAATGTAAAAGACCATTTTTTGCTAGATTATCTGTCCTATTGTTATTTATGTAAGATTACAGCCTGTCAGGTCATGATAAGAATAGCAATATGCTCTTGAGAAGGGGAGAATCCCTGCGTCCTAAAATGTATATGATTAAAGATTTTTTTTATGTACCCCCCGTCTTACGGAGATTTTTCCTATTATATATCACTGCTTCTACTTCTGTCCTCCATGTATTAACTACTTGTCTGTGTGCTTCCTTAAAATATCTTGAAATAATCAGAGGAGTTAGCATAATTTATTTTCTTTTATTGTTAAAGTATTAATTACTTTATTATTAAGAGTCCAATTTTCTTAGACTCTCAAAACCAAGATCTTTTTCAAAAGCCTTTAATACTGTTAAATATTTAATCCCTCTTCTGCTGGAACTGACTTTCAGTAGCATATAGACTCCTAATGACCAAACTGACAAAGGTACTGGAATATCCAAAGTCATTCTGCCAAATCAAGCACTTAGTACCATAAAGGAGCTGGGTTCAGACAGATCAGTTAAACAATACGTGCCCCTGAACTTTGCACCAAATGCTTTGTTCTGTTGTTGCCTGCCTTCATTTTGCACAAAGTCTATTGCATTTCTGAAATCCCACTTGAACTGTACTGGTTCAATGAGAGCGAACATGAGTGAATTTCACTCTAAAATAGCATGCACGCTCTTCAAAAATCGTTCTTCTTTCTTTCTCTATTCTAGTTATTAGAAGACTAGGACAAAGCACATTGTACATTTGATTTATAAAATGTTAGAATTCAGTGACCTACAATACTTTCTTTCTGGTTCCAACCATCAAGGCAATTCTGGTATCTGCTGATCATTGATTCTGTTTGCACTGATAGCTTCATTGGCCTGGCAAGCACAGTTGCTCTGGAAAATCAGTGTCTCAGAAAGAACAGTCTGGCATTAACCCTTCAGTGGCTTTGAAAGATAGTGTTTTGATTTGATATGTGATAGGGATCCAATAGAATATCCACAGCACAAGATGGAAGAACATTATTCTCTTTTGCTAATGAGCTCCTGTGTAATTGATTTCAGTCACATAATGACTTGCTCAGGTCACTGCTAAACCACTCACCTTCTTTCCCTTTCCATTTACCTCTATCAAATAACATCCAAACTGTCTAAATACTTTCATTACCCTGCTCATCCTGTGTGTGAGTACCTAACAAAATGGCAAACTCAAGCAGATGATTTGCTGCGAACCTCTCCCTTCTTTGCTTTTGTTTACAGCATCAGGGCACTGTGCACAGCTTTTGTTTGCTTTTTGTTTTCTTTGAAATACTGGCACATAGTTTACATGTCCTTCCAAATTACTGCTTAGCTAAGCAGGAAATGTTGAATTCTTATAACATTTCCCATCAGCCTCTCCTTCCAGCCCTTTAAAACTGTGTTTTGATTCTTTGAAGTCTTTTCTATTAGTCTACATTATTCAGAGGCTGTGGTGTGCATAAGTACATGCAGGAGCACAGGTGCAATCTTTATGGCAATCTCAAGAAGAAAGAAGAGAGACATCAAGTAGCACAGAGTGTCATAGGGCCAATCCAATAATGCTGGGTGTTCCATGTTCATTAGCATGTATGAGTATATAAATGTTAGAGACTTACCAGAAAATGGCTGCAGCGAAAGTTACTCAAAGGAGACACAAATGCCCAGCTTCCAGAAGATGACAGATGAAAAACTGTAATCTGTAGACAGAGAAGAAAAGCTAACAATAATACCAGGACATAAGGAGAATGGCAAATTTCAATAGTTTCCACCTTGAAGTGATGGTAGTAGCAAGTATGCACTGGGCAGTTTATTGCCTTGGGTGTGTCTGAGTGCAGGACTAGTTGAAGTACAGCTAAATATAGTGTGCTTGTGCAAAAACCAGTAACACTATTAAAAATGTTCATAATTTTCTAAGCAAAGCAGGTAGAAAGTGTTTCTAAGCCCCATTATTACACAGATCACCTTTGAAGGGTGGTTCCCCATTATGTTTCCAGATATTGCCCTGAAGGAGTGGCTGTATTTCCCATTGTGTGATCAAATTTCACAATCTTCTGTGAAACTGCCAGCTCAGCACCTGTTGTAGTTAGGTGTGATTGCCAATGCAGCTCTTCATTTCAGAGTTGACACTAAGTTTGTTTTACATAAGAGTTGTAAGTGATAAATTTGTTAATGAGAAGGGGATGTCTGCCTTCTTGCCTGCATTCTCTAAAAAGCAAGTGCTCTACAAAACCACAAAATACAGGTTTCCCACAGTATATGCCAGTGAGTAAGTGGGTGACTCGCAGTCACCTCCTCCATTTTCCCTGGAGTTATGGTGCTGTCTTGCCTTGCCTTGCCCAGACACACACGCACACACACGCACACACACACAAGTTCTACAGGCACATACATGTACACCTAAGACAATATGAAAGACTTACCTTGGTAAACATATACATTTCTGCAACACATGATCACACCAGAAAAAAAGATGAATTTTAAGCAGGCTAATACAACAATGAACATAGCTTACATTTGAGAAAGGCACTTCATCATAAACATCTTGACAGAAATTTGTAAAGTGTCATGTAAGTGATACAAGGGTCACTTCATCAAGCACTGAAATCATAAACAGACTTAACAGAACACATGACAATTTTAAAGCCAAAACAGGATAAAGCCAGCATGTGTTTCTAATGCTGAAGTTGGTTTGAAGAAACCAAAAATTTGCTCCCAGTCACTTAAAAGCTATTAGAATGAACTTTAAGGAATCTTTGTTGCATAGCACTGAAACCTTGAAATATATCTAAATCTTACAACTTAATTCCTTAGCTTTCATTAAAAAACAAAAATGCTTTAAAGGAAGCCTTATCATATAACGGACATAAAATTTTCAAAAAGATGAAAAAATACCTTCAGAAAACAAAATACAAACCGACAGAAACATGAAGGTCCTGTGTTTTATCCAATAGTCATCAGCATATATGTAAATACAGACCTTTCTCCAGAAGCTGTAAGAGCAGTTCCACTCTCATCCCTGGAGGTAATTCCTCCCTCAGATAACTATGGTATGTTGGCAGTAGTTTGCACCTTAGTGCAAAAATCCAACTCTCTCCAGTTAGCATATGTGTTCTAAGAATACAACTCTTTGCACTCAATTAGCATGTTGGATTTAGTGTTTGCAAAGGCAGAAACAGAGTTTAGAATTTCTGCAATGATGAATAACCAGGTAAAGAACAGAAAATAGAAACAGAAGGACTTAGGAAATATGTAACTTTAAATCATCAAGGAATTTCACAAGCCTCAATTTTCCAACACAGAACCAATAAAACTATTTACAACTTGATTCACTGAACTTTATGATTTGAGTTAGTTAATGACCAAGGTGCCAAAGTCTGGAAATGAAGTGGTTTGAATACACTAATCACCTGGTCTTCAAAATAACAACTGTTTAATAGAACTTAATCACTACTGTCAATGCTGTGCATTTTCTCCTATTAAAGAAACATTTAATATTATTTAGCCTTTAATCATATTAACAGACTGAAAACATCAAGTTGCTATTCAGGATGTACGGATGCTCTTGCAATGTGCCATCTAGTGGCTGCAGGCACTTCACCAGGGCAGGCCCAAAATTCCTAAATCCAGGCCAAGCACCTAGTCTGGTCTTAATCTTCCTCAGAAAACATCCTTAAATAGCTAAGGAGAAAGTAATGGAGCAA